TGGGGGGGGGCAGCTCAGCCCACCAGGGGGCGGGGCTGGCTGGCATGTGGTGCTGGGGGATTGAACCACGGTCCCTGTGCTTTAGCTGAGCTTGTTCTAAGTAGGTGCTTTAGACCACTGAGCCATCTCACCAGCCCTACCCTTTAATTATTTTTTAATTGCACACTATATGAATAGAGTCATTCTGCTGTATCATAGTGGAATACTATACATTAGAAAGCAAGGCATAGCCTGGAACGTTAAAATAAGGAGATTAAAAAAACTCTTGGAAATGTATTAGTAAATATTTACTTTTGGAAATGTGGGGCATGATTTAAACTCTGCTTTTTACACTTAGCCTCATTTTACTCTTCTTTTTCTGCAGTAATGTGTATAGCTGGTATTGGACTTGTTGTATTATTCTTCAGTTGGATGCTCTCTATTTTCAGATCTAAATATCATGGATATCCATACAGGTATGAATCTTATTTTTTAGTTTCTGCAGCAACTACCTATACTTAAAATGATGAGAGTTATTGTGGCTTTGAAATGTTTTCTTCTTTTGCTTTACTTTCAAGCCATTCTGGTTTCTAAAGCAGAGAAAGCTGGGCATGATGGTGCATGCCTATGGTCTGAGCACTCGGGAGGCGGAGGCAATAGGATCGCTGTGAATTTGAGCCTAGCCTGAGTTACATAAGTGAGCTCAAAGCCGGCCTTCAGTATACATAGCAAAATCCTGTCCTCCTAAAAAAGATATTTAATTTAGATATATGTAAAATTAATTTAATTATGGTATAATGCACAATATTAGAGTGTGATTATGCAGACAGCTTTCAAAGTTATTCTGATATTACCTAATTGAACTTGGACATCTATAACATGTAATGATTAGAGCATTTTATACTATATGCATATATTCACACATTTTCTTCGAGGGCATACTGTTGTGTATAACTCCCTCTTAAGAGTTGTTGTTTTTTTTGTTGTTGTTGTTGTTTTTGCGGAACCGGGGATTGATTGAACTCAGGCCCTTGCGCTTGCCAGGAAAGCGCTTATTCCACTGAGCCATCTCCCCGGCCCCCAAAATACAGTAAGATACAATTTTTTTTTTTTTCGGAACCAGGGATTGAACTCAGGCCCTTGCACTTGCCAGAGAAGCGCTTATTCCACTGAGCCATCTCCCCAGCTGTTGATTTTTTTTTAATGTAAATGATTTTTAAATGTTTTTAAAGGGCCAGCCAAAAAAAAGGGGGCCAGCCAGATAGTTCAGTGGATTAAAGTGCCTACTTAGGCAGATCCCCAGCCTGTTATGCTGGCCCCACCCCCCGAGGCACACTGAGGCAGTGATTGAGACTGGGAGTGGTGGCATGCGCCTGTAATCCCAGCACTTCAGAGACTTAAAACAGGAGGATCTCTACAAGTCTGATCTGTGTAGTGAGACCCTGTAGACCCTGTATTAAATACATTAAAAAAATTTTTTTTAATTTTTTTTTTTGAGACAGGGTCTCACTATGCAATTTTATAGCCCTCAGGCTGGTCTCAAACTCACAGAGGTCCTCCTGGATCAGTCTCCCAAAGTGCTGGGATTACAGGCTTGTGTCACCATGCCCAGTTTAAAATTGGAGGATTGAGGCTGGTGAGATGGCTCAGTGGTCTAAAGCACCTACTTAGAACAAGCTTAGCAAAGCACATGGACCGCGGTTCAATCCCCCAGCACCACATGCCAGCCAGCCCTGCCCCCAGGTGGGCTGACCTGGCCACACACAAAATAAATAAATAAATAAATAAATAAATAAGAATTTATCTTTTGGGCCAGCCAGATAGCTCAGCAGATTAAGGTGCCTGCTTAGGCAGGTGGGGCCAGTTTGATCTTGGCCTGCTCTGCCGGCCCCGCCCCCAGGTCTCACAGAGAGGGCGATTGAGACTGGGTATAGTGGCGCGTTCCTGCTGTCCCAGCGCTTGGGAGGCTGAAAACAGGAGAATCAATCACTACAAGTCCCATCTATATAGTGTGACCCTGTGTACCCTGTCCTAAATTCGAAAAAAGCAAAAGAATTTATCTTTTTAAGGGCCACCCAGGTAGCTCAGCGGACTGAAGCAGGCACAGGGGCCATGTTTGATCCCAGGAGTGTGCTGTCCCCACCTCTGGGGAGTGCTGAGATAGCAACTGAGACTGGGCATGGTGGCACACACCTGTAATCCCAGTGCTTGGGAGGCTAAGAAAATGTGGATCACAATGAGTCTGTCTATGTAGTGAGACCCTGTAGGCCCTGTACTAAATACATTTAAAAAATTTATCTTTTTAAAAAAGTAGTCCAGGGCTGGTGAGATGGCTCAGTGGTCTAAAGTACCTACTTAGAAGAAGCTTAAGCAAACCACAGGACCGCGGTTCAATCCCCCAGCACCACATGCCAGCCAGCCCCGCCCCCTGGTGGGCTGAGCTGGCCACCCACACACACACACACACAATAAAAAAAAAATTAAAAAAAAAATTAAAAAAGTAGTCCAGGGTCCAGGGAGATAGCTCAGTAGAATAAGCACTTGCCTGGCAAGTGCAAGGTCCTGAGTTCAATCCCTGGCACCGCAAAAAAAAAAAAAGTAATCCAGATGTGAGATGTGGTGGTATGCTCCTGTAATCCCAGTATTTGGGAGGCTGAGGCAGGAGAATCATTGGGAGTTTGAGACCTGCCTGAAGTGCATGGAGTGACCCTGTCTCAAAAAGATAGAAGATGGGCTGGTGAGATGGCTCAGTGGTCTAAAACACCTACTTAGAACAAGCTAAGCAAAAGCACAGGGACTGCGGTTCAATCCCCAGCACCACATGCCAGCCAGCCCCGCCCCCTGGTGGGCTGAACTGGCCACACACACACACACACACACACACACAAAATAAATAAATAAATAAAATTTTTAAAAAAGATAGAAGAAAAATAATCCAAGGTATAAGTAAAGAACAAAATATAAGACTGATAAAAGAAAACAGGGAGATAGGTCTTTTGGAAAGAAGAAGGGGGAGGCGGGGAGATAGCTCAGTAGAATAAGCAAAGCACAAGGGCCTGAGCTCAATCCCTGGTTCTGCAAAAAACAAAACAAAACGAAAGAGGAAGGGGACCAGGAGGCTGACTGAAGGGGAAGGGGAAGAGAAACCATGAACATAATCCTTACATGTCACAGACAGTGAAAATGGTGATGATGAGGAAGAAAATGGGGAAAGCAGAGTTGGAGGGCGAGGAGTGAGTGGGAAGGGAAGGAAAACAAAAGGAATAAAAATATGTAAAATATATGCAGGGCTCAACATGTAGCTTAGCAGTGCAGTGCCTGCCTGGCAAGTGCAAGGTTCTGAGTTCAGTTCCTGGTGCTAAAAAAATAAATAAAATGAAACATATAGACCCCCGCCCAATGTGAATGTAATCATGATATACTCCAAACATTCACTACTATGAAAAACAAGGGAAAGGGCAACACAAAAACAATTAAGATGTGTTATATACATGTACCAACTCCTCACAATGAATGTAATCATTATGTACTGCAAACATGTACTAATGACTTTTTTTTTTGGCAGAACCGGGGATTGAACTCAGGCCCTTGCGCTTGCCAGGGAAGCGCTTATTCCACTGAGCCATCTCCCCAGCCCCCTAATAACTTTTTTTAAAAAAAATCTACATCCTAGGATCCAGGGACATCACTCAGCAGTCTAAAGCGCCTGCTTAGGCAAGCTTAGGCAACATGCAAGGACCGCGGTTCTATTCCCAGCACCACATGCCTTGCCAGCCTTGCTCCCAGGGCAGGCTGAGCCAGCCAAAAAAAAGAAAAAATAAAACAATAAAAATAAGCTAGGCATGGTGCCTGCCACATGCCTATAATTCTCTAGTTACAGGCACATCCCTCTAATTGCAGCACTCAGGAGGCTGAGCCAGGAATATCACTGTGAGTTCGTAGTTAACTAAGGCTACATAGGTCAAAACCAGTGTGAACTACAAAGTGAGACCCTATTTCCAAACAGTAGAACAGAAAAAGGGAATGTTTAAGAAGGTATACTGGGGGCTGGTGAGATGGCTCAGTGGTCTAAAGCACCTACTTAGAACAAGCTTAGCAAAGCACAGGGACCGCGGTTCAATCCCCCAGCACCACATGCCAGCCAGCCCCGCCCCCTGGTGGGCTGAGCTGGCCACACACACAAATAAATTTAAAAAAAAGAAGGTATACTGAAGCCACATGTCATGGTGTGTCTCTGTTTTCCCAGCTACTAGGAAGGCTGTAGCACTACCGTGCCCAGCTTTTTCTTCTTTATAGTGTATTTGGTTGTTGCAGCATCTCACTATACAGCTTGGACTCCTGGTGATTCTCTTGTTTTCAGCCTCCCCAGCCCAGCCTTAGGATTACAGGCATGGACTCTTTGGGGCTCAGCCTGCCCCAGGGGTGCGGCTGGCAGCATTCGAGACTGGGGATTGAACCCTGGTCCCTGCGTATCCAAAGTAGATTGTTAGTATGCTGAGCTATCTCACCGGCCCTTAAACTTAATTTTAAAACAGAACCTCCTAGGACCCTGATTTTTGATTTGTAATCTAAATTAATACTTTTATGATTGGCATGGTGGTGCACATCTGTAATCCCAGCGCTCTGAGAGGTTAAGGCAGGCAGAATTTTTTTTAAAAAATTCAGGTGCAGGCCAGTGAGATATCTCAGTGGACTAAGTATCTGCTTAGGCAAGTTCAGGGTCCAGAGTTCAGTCCCCAGCACCACATGCTGCACCAGCCTCACCCTTGGGCATGCTGAGCCAGTGGGGCGTCGTGGTGCTCTGTAATCCCAGCACTGGGGAAACTGAAAAACAGGATGACTACCAGTGGGAGCTATGTAGTAAGAATCTGTACCAAATATATAAAGAAAAAAAATGATAAAAAAGCAGGTGTAGTGGTATATACCTGGCACTTGGATGAAGCAAGAAGACTCTCAAAACTTTGAGGATAGTCAGGGCTACATAGCAAGTTGAAGATCAACTGAACTGGGCCAGGGAGATAGCTCAGTAGAATAAGCGCTTGCCTGGCACAAGGGCCTGAGTTCAATCCCCAGTTCCGCAAAAGAAAAAAAAAAGATCAACTGAACTACGTGGTGAGACCACCTCAAGGGGAAAAAAAATTATATATATGGTTTTTTTTTTCATTCTGAGAATGTAGTTCAGTGAAGGCCATGGGTTCAATATAGTATCAAAAAGCCAAGCATAGTGGCACATGACCATAGTCCTAGCACTTAATAGGGTAAGGCAAGAGGATTGCCATAAGGCTGACCTAAACCACATAGCAAGACCCTATCTCAAAAAAAAATGTGTATGGGGCTGGGGAGATAGCCCAGTAGAATAAGTGCTTTCCTGGCAAGCACAAGGACCTGAGTTCAATCCACGGTTCCACCAAAAAAAAAAAAAAATGTGTGTATGTGTATATATATAGGACTGCAATATTTACTTAATTTATACTTTTGTTCTTTTTTATGTATGTGTATTTTTAAATGATTGGGCCTCTGTAGAGTACTAATTGGGATATAATTTTTATGTATTTAGTGCAGGGTCTATAGGGTCTCACTATGTAGATCGGACTCATAGTGATCCTCCTGTTGTCAGCCTCCCAAACGCTGGGATTACAGGCACACTCAGTCTCAGTCATCATCTCAGTATGCACTGGCGCAGGACCAGCATGGCTTGTGATACTTGGGGATCAAATCCTAGCCCCTGTGCTCTGCCTAAGCAGGCGCTTTAGTCCACTAAGCTGTCTGGCCAGCCTCTATAATATTTTTGCTCTAAATTCTAACAAATTATTTGATCACATGAGGCTTGATTCAGTTATTAAGAAGTGTTTCTATTCAGGAGTTGTTTTAACTTGAAGTTACATCTGTTTTGTTGTAAGACTACCTTGTTTCAGTGTTTCTCATATTTTGTTGGTGAGACTCAGATTATCATACATGTGCCAAAATGCTTTTAAAATCAGCATGCTATATATTCATTAGAAAAGCCTTTTCAAAGACTAATAGATTGGTGTATATTTTTTTTCAGCTTTCTGATGAGTTAAAAAGGATCCAGAGATATGTAGACACTGTGGTAATGGAAACTGAAAAGCAAGAAGTACATGTGTATTTGAGAAGAACGCAACTTATGTATTTTGTATTACCTCTTTTTTTCAAGTGATTTAAGTAGTTGATCATTTAACCAAAGAAGATGTGTAGTGCCTTAACAAGCAATTTCTTGTCAAAAATCATGAAGTATTTAAAAGCTACTCTCCTCTTAAATGTCCCTTCCCAGTGAATTTTATGGAACATTTAATTTTGTAGAACTAAGTACCTTATAGGGGCCGGGGAGATGGCTCAGTGGAGTAAGTGCTTCTCTGGCAAGCACAAGGGCCTGAGTTCAATCCCCGGTTCCGCCAAAATAAAGACTGAGCTAAGTACATTATAAAAAATTTAAAACTACTTGAGTTTAATTAGAACAAACGTCATGACTATTTTAGTTAATCTGATTTTATATTCTTTTCCAAAGGTAAAGAATGAACATTGTGACCAAGTATTCCCACATATCCATGCTATAGATAACTGCATTGGGGATCCATTCTTATTTTTACATGTTTGCATGGATGCGTTACATTTTTACTTTTGGACTGAGAAATTATATGTGCTTTATAGTCTTCTGACACTGGAACATTATTGTTCAAAGTACAAGTTCAGCCTTTAGAAAAACTACTCCGTGTTCTGCATCTTTTCGATTGGAATATAGTACTACCCATGCTTCTTGATAGCTGTAGATATTAAAAAGTATCTCTAAATACAGGATTGTTATTTCTGCATGCCTATTGTGTTCACTATCTCATATTTGAAAAGATTTCAGATTCATGCTTCTCTTAATTTTTTTTATTAAAAGTTATGTGTCTCTAATAATTACTTTAATGCTAAAGTTCAGGACGAGGTGTGTATAGTGGCACATGCATGTAATCCCAGCACTTGGGAGGCTGAGGCAGGAGGATCACTGGGAGTTTGAAGCTAGCCTGGGCTACTTGGTGAGTTGAAGACCCACTTGAACTACATAGCGAGACCCTAGCTCAAAGAAATCATTATAACTTATAATGTTTCTGAAAGTGAGACATTATCATTTATTTCCTCTTTACCTAACAGAAAAATAGCCTCAGTTGTATTTAAGAAAAAACTTCCTTGGGATGGGAAAAAAGTCATGAAATAGTAAGTTGTTACCTTTATATAGAAATTGAATGTTTCTTGAAACTTACTGTTTTTGTTACGATTTTATCCTTTTTTCTTTCCTGTTAAGTAGAGACAGCCAGCACAGTAGCAGGTACCTGTCCCAGATACTTGGGGCACTAAAGTAGAAAGATTTAGGCCATGGAGAAGCACCCGCCTAGGCAAGCTCAAGGAACTGGGTTCAATCCCTGGTACCACATCATGTGCCAGCCCTGTCCCAGGCATGCTGAGCCAACCACTAAGACCAGGCATGGTGGCACATGCCTGTAATCCCTGTGATGGGGAGGCTGAAACAGGAGGATCTCTGTGAGTCTGAGCTGCATAATGAGACCCTGTACCAAATACATAAAATAAAGTAGAAAGATTTTTTTTGGAGGGGATTGTTTGGTTTTGGTTTGGTTTGGTATTTTGAGACAGTATTGCTATGTAGTCCAAGCAGGCCTTGAGTTTAGTAGGTAGCCACAGCTGGGCTCAAACTCAAACTCTCCATCCTCCTGCCTCAGCCTCCTAAGTGTTGGATTATAGGTGGGGCCACCATGCGCTCCAGCGGATCATTTGAGGTCAGAAGCAAACTATAGATCCCATCTCAAAAATAAGTAGAGAAACAAAGTAAAATTTGAATGGGCTTTGTTTAAATTTTGTCCTCTTATTACTGACAGTGGTAAAAACCAAGTGTTAATCAAATTCCTAACCTAAACTGCCACTATTATGAAACTATGTGAATTGTGAAAAAAATTAAAAGAATCCTAGAAATATTGCATTAATAAAATACTGTTACTGCTTCCTGCTATTCACTATCTAATAACCTTCCCTAGGGTTATAGAAGATTTATAAGACAGAGGTTTGTAGAAAGAGATTGAATAAAATTGTCTTATAAGTATTTTATGTGGGGTTTTGTTTTGTTATTTTTTTGATGTATTTGGTACAGGGTCTCACTATGCAGCTCAAACGCATAGTGATCCTCCTGTCTCTACCTCCTTAGCGCTGGGATTACAGGTGTGTGTCATCACGCCTAGTCTCATTGGCCTGTGCAGCACTTGGTGCCAGGGATTGAACCCTGGTCCCTGTGCTTGCCTAAGCAGGGACTTAGTCTGCTGAGCTATCTTGCCAGCTCTTGTTTTTATTTTTATTAGTACTTTTGCTGGCTGGGTGTAGTGGTACACTTAATCACAGCACTGAGAGCCTGAGGCAGGAGGATCACAGCAAGTTTGGGGCTAGCCTGGGCTATGTAAGTGAATTAAAGGCCAGCCTGTACTATGTAGTGAGGCCCTTTCTCAAAACAAACAAACAAAAAGTGTACTTTTGTTGGCTAGGTGGATGCAATTGACTTTTTGTTAATCATTCTCCTGGAAAGTGGAAAGTTGTGGATTCCTTATGTACTGTTCTTGTATTTATCTCAGGCCAAATAAACTTACCTTATGATTCTTTTGAGACTTGTATGAAGATGCCCTGATTTGTACTGATGGACCAGGGGAATTCTACTGCCAGTAGTCTGTGTATTTCCAGATAATTTGTTGTGGTCATTGAAAGATTCCTTTAAGAGTACTAGTTTTCTTCTTCTGTAAAGAGAAAGGTAGGACTCTGGCTAAAATCTGTAGAGAGTACATTTATTGCACTCTACTAAGGTTACATTTGTAGAAATCGAAATTAGTTTTTACCCAAAGTGCCTTAAGTAGACTCTTGATTTACTTTTCTAGTAATTGTTTAAATATCATTTGTTATACATTTTTAAGATTTTATTCAAAATGATACATTATATTGGCAAAGATAAACAGATGTCTGGCTGTTTTCCTTTTGACTATATCAATAAAACTTTTACAATCTAAATTCTGAGTTTTTCATTACTATTTAAAAAGGAATCAATTTAAAGTACTAAAAGAGCATGCCTGTAATTACAGTATTTTGGAGTCTGAGGCAGACAGATTGCCAAAATTTCAAGGCCAGGCTGAACTATGTGAATTCAAGACCATCTGAAATTACAGTGAGAGGGGCCGGGGAGATGGCTCAGTAGGATAAGCGCTTGACTGGCAAACACAAGGATCTGAGTTCCATCCCCGGTTCCGCCAAAAAAAAAAAAAGAGAAATTACAGTGAGACCCTGTCTCAAAACAGAAATCAGGACCAGGGAGGTGGCTCAGTGAAATAAGTGCTTCCCTGGCAAGCGTAAGGGCCTGAGTTCAATCTCTGGTCCCACCAAAAAAAAAAAAAAAATCAGAATAAAACTGAAGGAGAATTGCAAAATTAGAGTATTTTATATGAAATTAGTGGGGTCCTTGGTTTTTTGAGACAGTCATGCTATATAGTTCAGGCAGACCTTAAACTCATTGTATAACCCAGACTGGTCTTGAACTCATGGCAGTCCTCCTGCCTCAGCCTTCCAGTGCTGGGATTACAGGCATGTGGGACCACTCCCAGCTCATAGGACAGTTTTCTTAAGTATTTCTAGATTGAGAAATTCTTCTAGGAATCTGTATGTGGTGCTTTATTAATGTTGGATGTATTACATTAGAACAGCCCAAGGTGGCCTTGGTAGTGTACACTTGTAATCCCAGCACTCAGGAGCCTGAGGCAGAAAGATCACCACAAATTTGAGGCTACTTTTGGCTACACAGTGAATTCCAGGCCAATCTAAACTACATACCCAAAACCTGACTTGCCCCCTGCAAAAACCCAGAAAAGAAGGGCAGGCGAGATAGCTCAGCGGATTAAAGTACCTGCTTTGGCAGACACAGGGAACCAGGGTTTGATCCCTGGTATGCTGTGCGTGCTGGGTGCACTAGGCATGATGGCATGCACATCTATGATCCCAGCGCTTGGGAGCCTGAAAACAGGAGGATCACTATGAGTCCAATCTGTGCAGTGAGACCTTGTAGACCCTGCACTAAATATACATTTAAAAATAAGGAGGGGGGCGGGAACATGGCTCAGTAGAATAAGCGCTTCCCTGGCAAGCCCAAGGGCCTGAGTTCAATCCCCAGTTCCGCC